AGGCCTAGTGGATGTTCGTTGGGATCTCGTGGGAGGCTCTTCGGGGGCTTCTTGGAGGCAGTCTTGAGGCCTGCTGGGAGCTGTTTTGGGGGCCTCTCGGGGGCCTCTTGTGGGCCTCTTGGGGCCTCTTGGGGGGCGGCCCTGGAGCGGCGGTGGAGAGGCTGGTAGGGTCGGACGGAGCCAGGAAAAGGACATTCAGGCATTCTGGAACGCTCTCAGAGCATTCCGGAACGCTCTGAGAAGGCCGCTGCGCCCGATACATCCTCCAGCGCGGACCCTTCGGACGGGGCCAGGCCGAGGATAAATCAGTTCCGTCTTTTTCCGGAATGCTCTCACAGCGTTCTGGAACGCTCTGAGAGGGCCGCGGCGCCCGAGACTTCCTCCAGAGCTGCCGGATCTCAGAAATTCTCGATTTACCTTCAGCCGAATTTTCTCGCCCTGGCTGGCTTCGTCGCAACCCCGTTGGAAACCTCTGGAGGCCCAGTCCTCTGGCGACTCGAAAGGACTGCGCCAGAAGTGTTTCACAATGTTCGGCAGCCTCTCGGGTGGGTGGCAAGGGGGGGTGACCTGAACATGGGGGTGAGGAAAAGGCTGGGCCCTGTAGGGCTCCATTTTGGCCCCTGCTGGCTCTTCAAGGGGCCATACAGGGCCCCTTTTGGGTCCTGTTCCTCACTCCCCATCCAGGTTACCACCCATTACCACCCGCCCGATGGGCTTGGACACGGCCGCTGTCTGCCTTTTCCGTTCGAAACCTCGTTCGGATGCTCCAGAAAGGGCGCTCGTCGGACCTCTTCTGTGCTCGAGCTCCTCTCGGACGAGCTCGATGTACACAGCACCTCGTTTGGCCTGCCAGGGAGCCATAGACGCTCCCGCCTCCCACAGGCTTGGAAGCTGGGGAGTCTATACAACGAGCTCCCTGTCTGATCAGACGAAATGTCAGCGACTGTGGCGTTCTCCTCCTCCTCCTCCTCCTCCTCTTCATCCGCGTCACCCTATCACCCCTCCTCCTCCTCCTCCTCCTACTCCTCCTCCCCTTCCTCCTCCTTCTCCTCCTCCTCGTCCTCCTCCTCCTCTCGGAGGCGAGCGAGGGGGGAAGCGAGGGGAAGTCAGAAGGAAAAGGCCTCAGAAGGGGGCCTTGCTTCTGAGAAACCCTCGCCCCGCCGGAGCAGTTTACTTTGTGCCTTTGGAAGGCTCAGAAAGGAGCCTCAGAAGGCCAGATGATTTCGAGCCTTCTGATAATGCCCGTCCCTCCTTACTTCCACCCCAGGCTCGCCGCCGAGAAGGGAACAACGCAGCATACGCATACACTTTTGCGGGTCCGCGCGGATTTCTTTGGATCTGCGCGTGGGCACCCCCCCGGCTGCGCCTTCGCCTCTGGCGCGCTCCGCGCGCGAGGGCGGGGGCAGGCCAGCGCCGCTCCGGGAGGTCCGCGCGGAGCTCCGACCTCTGAGACTTGAGGGCGTCCTTTCCTGGGAGAGCTCGGACGTGCGCATGCCTTTCCGCGGCGAGGGCGATCGAGGAGCATCCAACAGCACGCACGACACCGAGCACACAACCAGCACGCACGAGCAGCACAACCAGCACGAGCGACACCGAACACTACCAGCACGCACGACACCGAACACAACCAGCACGCACGACACCGAACGCAACTAGCACAACCAGCAGGGCGATCATCGAGCACAACCAGCACGCACGGCACCGAACAATGCAAGGGGAACGGGCGGCCGAGCGATGGCGATGCATGGCGCGTTTAGTCGAGGCCGTCGTGAACAGGACCGGGACGATGATCGCTTTCCCAACCGCGATGTGCGGACAGGATCTCGGACAGGCGGTGTCGCCCTCCGCGGCAGAGGCGATCGCGCCAGAAGACGCTATCATCTCCATGAGCGCCCGAGCGAGAGAAGAGAGCCCTTCCACACAGAAGTGGCCCGCCTGTTTTCATACCTTTCTGAGGATTTTCAACCCAAACAAAGAAGTTTTGGTCTTCGATATTGTTTGTCTTATCATCTGGCGCGTAACCGTCACTATCTGGGCCACCCCCCCGTCCCCCCCTTCCCACGTAGTGGTAACGATCGTACGAAGGGGAGGGGCTTGGGCCCCCGACCCTCATACTGGTGCTCGCGCTCAGACTATGGCGATCACAACGCACACCCGCCCCGACGTGTTCCCCCCCGCCCAAGCGTTGACGTTACCCTGGCCCTCCCCCCCAGGTGTCTAGGGCGTTGCTGCATGGACGGGCGATCAACGGGGAGCTGAGAGACGCGCGTATTTCGTACCTTTACTGGGCCCTAGGGGCCCTTTTTCAGAGCTCATTTTGGGCACAAGATGTGCGCTTTTCTTCGACCGCCCATCACGCCACGACCGAGGGTGACAATCGTTGCCTAGGAATGACAAACACATGCAGTCTCGTCCTCGAGCCATCCGCCATACAGTCGGACCCAGGTATCAGATCGAGGTCGTTTCAGGGAGGGTACTCCAATGCTCTTCGTGTTTGTTGGGTGTTCTCGTGCATCCTGGGGAGGGTACCCTTGGATGTTCTGTGTGGTTTGGCTGGAGGGATGCTCTGCTGGCCTGGGTCCAATTGTACTGGGGGGCCCTGCGAGGGCGGCGCACAGCCTTGCCCAGTCTGCGCCACCGGGCAGCATGGAGCCCCCCTGAGGCACTTCGTGGACGAGTGCCACGGCGACCTCGAGCTGTACGAGCGGACGTACGGCAGGGCCGAGGCGCGCGGGCGCGCTCGTCCTCCTCCTCCTCCTCCGCCTCCGCCTCCTCCTCAGTCTCTCTCCCCACCACCACCACCTCTTCCTCCTCCTCCTCCTCCTCCTCCTCCTCCTCCCTATACCCATCCTCTCCCTCCCCTCCCCCTCTCCTCCTCCTCCCCTCCTCCTCCTCCTCCTCCTCCTCCTCCTCCTCTCTCCTCCTCCTCCTCCTCCTCCTCCTCCTCCTCGTCCTCCTCGCTCCTCCTCCTCCTCCTCCTCCTTCTCCTCCTCCTCCTCCTCCTCCTCCTCCTCCTCCTCCTCCTCCTCCCTGTCCACCTCCTCCTCCTCTCCTCCTCCTCCTCCTCCTCCTCCTCCCATCTTGATCCTCCTCCTCCTCCCCCCTCCTCCTCCTTCCCGCCTCCTCCTCCTCCTCCTCCTCCTTCTTCATCTACTCCTTCTCCTCCTCCCTTCCTCCTCCTCCTCATCCTCCTCCTCCGCCCCCCCCTTGTTTCCTCTTCCTCCTCTCCTCCCCTCTCCCTTCCTCCCCCTCCTCCTCCTCCTCCTCCGCCTCCTCCTCCTTCTCCTCTTCCTCGTCCTCCTCCTCGTCCTTCTCGTCCTCCTTTCCTCTTCCTCCTTCTCCTCCTCCTGCTCCTTCTCCTCTCCTCCTCCTCCTCCTCGTTCTCCTCTCCTCCCCCCTCCTCCTCCCTCCTCCTCCTCCTCCTCCTCCTCCTCCTCCTCCTCCTCCTCCTCCTCCTCCTCCTCCTCCTCCTCCTCCCCCTCCCCTTTCTCCCCTCCGAAACGTAGAGAAGCACGAATGCATGCCTGCCTAATTAGGCCTGTGGCTTGCTTCGTTGTTCCTTCGGGTGGCGGCAGTCGGTTGTTCGCTTTTGTCGTTGTCCCTCCGCCGCGTGTCGTTTTCCGTCCCTCGCTCGTTCAACTGGTCCGGTCCCTTGTTCGGTCTCCGCTTGACTCTGACCCACGTCCAAACAATACAGGCGCAAGGCATCGTGTTCGGGTTTTCCTGATTCTCCGCGGACTCAAGCGACGAGCCTAAGTAGATACGCTGGAATTCATGGGACGCATCTTGAGCGAATCGCAATCCACTCTCGCCCTTCTTCTTTTCTGCACTCCTCACCTCTTCGCTCCTCCTGTTCCTCCGAAGCGCCTCTGATCTCCCTCGCACCCGAGCCCCTCCCTCCTCCCCTGATCCCCTGCTGGCCGTCGATCTGCGGGGACCGACGGCAGGGCTTTTTGATGAGTGCCATAGGTGCGTGGGCCATGCATGTCCCATTCGAGGCATGGCGGTCCTCTGCTCTCCCGGGCCTCCTGGGGAGGAGGCGGAAGAGGAAATATGATGTGTGATGGAGGAGGAGGAGGAGGAGGAGGAGGAGGAGGAGGAGGAGGAGGAGGAGGAGAAGGAGTCCATCCTCCATGCCTGGCCCCGTCGCTGTCCTCAGCTCTTCTCTTGACCCTGCCGCGACCATGCTATCGAGGGTATCGTGGATCAGGAGGGGGACGACCCCAGGCTAGCGAGGAGCAGGGCCACCAGTTACCAGACAGAGTTCCGATTCGTGACAGAATTCACGACGGGATTTTTTTTTTGCAATTTCGGTCTCCGAGGCTGTCCTTTCCTCCCCCGACGCCAGCCAGCCGACACCCGCTGGTGGTGGACGACCCGGCTGGCTCAGCCCACTGATGGGGCAAGAAGGCACAGCAGAGGGAGGGAGTAGTAGGCGGACGAGGCAGGGGGGAGGGGGGAGGAGGAGGACGGAGAGAGGCGGAGGAGGAGGAGGAGGAGGAGGAGAAGGAGGAGGAGAAGCCCATCCTCCTCGCCCGCCCCTGTCGCTGTCCTCCTCCCTCCCCCCTCCTCCTCCTCTTGCCCTGCCCCGCCCATCCTCCTGTGCGCCCGCCGCCCCCAGGGCGAGCCCAGTGCGCCCCCGCAGACTGGCGCGGCCGCGGGCGACCCCGTCCTCGCCTCCGCGGCCGCAGCGGCCGCGCCAGTCGCGCCGGCCGAAGGCCGGCCCTCTTTCGACCCTCGATCCCCTTCGCCTTTCCCAGACATTGATCCTCGATCCTTGATCCTCTCCTTCGATCTTTCGATCCTCGATCCCCTTCGATCATCGATGCTCGATGCATGCCCACGTCCTGAACAACAAATGGGGCGGGAGGTGTTTCTCAGTCTTCGGCCTCTGGGGGCCCTCGCTGGGCCCTGGGACCGTCAGTAGGCGATCAGGGAGGCAGAACCAGCCCCGGCCCAGGGGAAGGGGTCTGGTTTTTCGGGGACTTTCATGTATAAAT